GTGACCGGAGACATTCTTTTTTCCTTTTGTGAATTTCTAAGGCTTCATGAAGCTTTCATCTCAGCCTGTCTGCGTACCGGCTTATCACTTTGCACTCGCCGATTGAAGGTCAACATGTGCAGTCAGCAACATGCACGGCCAAGATACGGTAGAGTTTTAGACGTCACACAAGGTATATGTAAACTGCTGGCGTAACTTCCATCGAAGCCCATGTATGCAGAAGAAAACCTACGTATGCAGCCTACGTATGCAGCCTCTGTATGAAGAAAAAAACCAACAGCTAAAGAATAAAGATTAAAAGACGACGTCACAACCAGAAGTTGTAGCGACGTCGTGCACTTGCCCCACATGACGCGAAATCAAATTTTCGCTTAATTGCTGATCTTTCGTGTGCCATTATAAATAAGCGTTTTCATTTCCCCTTATGACTCACTAATTTCATGTACGTGAGAAAAGAAAGACAACAAGAAATATTGAGGAGGCAGTGTTGTTTTATTAGCCAAATGGTGTACTTGCAACATAACCAGAAGCTTCACTGATGAAATAGTGACGCAACTGTTCATTAGCAGAATAGCATAAACAGTTCAAAGACTCACGTTGTCCAATCGTAGCAAACCACTGCAGCGAGACAGCAGCCTTGGGAATAACACTTGGCAAAACATAGAGTACAGAGCCTTGGGGCTTGACATGGCGCGTTCTCTGTCACCAAAGGTGAGGGCACGCCTGCCATGCGCCACCGAAGACAGTCAGCAGTCACACGAACGGCTGTCTACACATTCTGTGAGCCAGTTCAGCTATGAAATGCCACGCCAGTAAACAACACATAAGCAAATAAAATAAGTACACAATGTGTGGAAGGTATGGGAGGAAGACGAAGTGCCATTATGGCAGAACGCGAAATGTCTCAGTTCTACGCATACGTTTTAGGGGCGAAGCCTCTTACGCCATGAAGCGTACATCCCGTGTCGTCGTAGTCGTCGTAGTCGGCGTAGTGGCCAGTTCCATTGCACTGCATATCATCAAAAACGGTGTGAAAGCGTATCCATAGAGTGAATGATGATGAGTGGGGCGAAGCGTCCATCAGTCCGTCCGTGCTTTTTGTGCGTCTGCCCGTCAATGCGTCTATCCATGCATCCATCCATCCGTCCGTACGTTTCGCTCCACCCGTCCTCACACACCTCGTGAATATGCTGTGGCTTTTCGCAATTAATTTTAATTTAACCCGTCAAGTGCGGTTTACTACTGGTGTACAATGGAGGTGGAACCACACGTGCGCCCAGTAGACACCGGAGCGGTAGCGGGTGTTGCTTTCAGGAGGCGCAACAACACCTGGAGTGACACTGACAGCGGAAACACCACGCACTATTTGACGGCACAGAAGATTCTGCTGACGACACCTTCGAGTTAGTGAAGAACTGGAAGGCTAAGAGGCAGTTGCTGAGCACTTCATATAATTCAAGTGAGTCCGCCATCCAGTGTTCGCGAAATACCGAGGTATTAGCTATCCTATTCGCGCCAGTTCTAGCCACTGACGAGCTGAGATCTCTGAACAGTCAGCTCGTGTCTGCACAGCTATAGCCACTGGTACAAAACGAAATCAAGGAGGTCAGACTGAATACCCGGAAAACATTCTAGCAATTGACGTAAATCACGTGGCTGCGCGTCACACACTGCGCGATCTCATGGTAATTGAGGGAATATGGATGTCCGCTCTCAAATACCGTTGAACAAAGAGATTACCAGAGGGGTAATTTATGATATTGATGACGCCATTACCGAAACCGACCTACCATTCCTGATTAGCCTGCGTCAGTAGACACCATTATTGCAAGTGTGTGTCATATCAGGACATCACGATGCGTAAAGATTACATTCAAGAGCAATTTACTCCCATTACATCTGAAAGTGGGCCATTTTTGGCACGCAGTTCGACCTTTTGTGCAGAAACCGCGTCGGTGCTGGAAGTGCTTGAAGACAGGTCACGTGAGTAGTGTGTGCACGAACGCCGCCATTCGCTCCCAATGCACTAGGCCCTACACAAAAAACATGTGCCATTGTACAATACTGAAATGTTCAAATTTCAAGGGGCACCATTACGTCCGCCCCTTGTTCGGGTGTGTCCGCAGGTAGGGTACCTCGCATCATCGAGTGGCAGGGACCAACCTCGCTACCGAGGGGCGTCACAGTTGCTGGTATGTAGTGGCGTGTTGGTCTAGTGCATAAAACACCCAACCGGGGAAATGCAGGGTCTACGCCCCCGAGGTACAACACGTCCCCCGTGTAAGGTCAGCAGAAGGACGTGGCCCGTGAATCCCATGGCACGCACCTACTGATTAACAGGTTACTGGTGCCTTATTAGGCGAAAAATAGGCCGGCAACTTCCACGAGCCCGGCACCCACTTGCACAACGCGATGTCGTTGTCCTCCTGTGACCATTTTAGGGCGCGCGCCTGTTAATTATCCTGTTATCTGAAAGGAGATAGCAATGATGAAGAAAAAGGTGTGTGATCACTCGTCATACCAAGATTTAGGTGCAGCCGTTACGCGACAATAATCATGTAACCGGCGGTGCATCAAGGCCGCCAGGCCCTCGTTGCCAAGAGAACCACGTACAATACCGTCTCCTCTGCCTCAAGGTCCAAGTGCCGTCAGGTTTAAGGAGAAAGACTATTCAGCCAATAGTGCAGCTGACGCTTTATATATGCCACCAGGCTAAACGTAGCCGCGCCTAAGGACAAGGACACTTCTACCATCCACGAGATTGAAGTTCCGCCTGAACTCCCAAAGCTACTTGCACCTTACTAGGGACGCCAGAATTCGACAGAAAGGGTGAGCTCATCTCCACCTTACAAAGTGACGGACGAAGATGGAAAAGTTTTCGTCATGGTCCGCATCGTAGTCGGCGCTTTTCATTTATTGCTGAGCAAGATGCAGACACCAATAGCTCGGAGCGTGTTGTAACCGCTGGACACTTACAGAAGTGTAGCTTATAGAAGTATAGCTTACAGAATACCAGCAGCACCACCATAGATTTACCGTCGACATGATTTCGGAAGTATGGGACTGTGCATTCAAGATGCGTAATCCAACGAACGTGCTGCTGTACATTCAGCCACGGGACTGACCTCACCATCTGTGATGTCGGGCGCGAAAATGCTGTAGCGCTGACGCCTACAGAGCTTTTAAGGGCGAATCTCCTGAAGGTGCGGGTCTGTCCATTTCTTGTTTGTACGTGAACGCCTTTAGTTCCACCTTTGCAAACCGCCCACTACTTCGTCCTTGCCAACATCCCACTACGCTCAATCACCGATCCACCACTTCACCGAGAATAAAGCCGTTATAACGAAGGGGGAAAGGAAGCGACGTATGGCTACGAATTGTAAACGATTGCCAGGAACGAACCACTTTGGGACAGGTGCTTTGGGAGAGGCCCGGTGCGCCATACAACCAGCCTGACCGCCTAATAGGAATGGTCAGCGATGTCATGAGACCTGAGAACTCCAACGCTAGTTAAACGCTACGACCCCTCTGCCGATAGAGTCACTAGATTTCAAAATCCGGAAGGCCAGCACTCCGGGCGAACCGTCAAAGCCCACCTTTTTGGACTGTAGTCTACCTGGACGCAAATCAACACCACCCGGCCAGTGCTTACGCATGTACGCAAGTATATACAGTGTTTGTCACGCCTTTGATGATGTAGTGGGTGATTATCACGGATGGTTCGTGGTTTAGCGATGAAATCCCCCAGAGCTTCACCCCGCTCATCGTAATTCCCTTGAATAAGGAACTTCATGTAATAAATGTTCTGTCCCATAAGCATTGGGGTTTCGTTAGGTTATGCCTACGGAAACTTTATCGTTGCGTCGTACGTAGTATCTTGGATTATGCGCGTGTTGTTAACAGCTCGGCCACAAAATCGTACATTCAGCAGATTATAAAACGATATGGCAGCTATACTCGTATTGTCAATGGCCTCGTCAACTGCTTCAAAACTGACGGATGTGGCGCTGAGTAGTAAAGATCTTTCAGGTGTATTGGAAAACACTCACGACTTTTGATTGCTCAATTTCGAGGGAGACTGAGAAATTATGCGCTTACGTAACAAGAGAAGGGTCATCAAAAAACAGCAGGGCTAGCGACTGCTGCAATAACAGCCCCACGCAATTCCCCCAAGTGCCTCGCTCTGAAACTGCAACGCCAAATGGATGTTTAGGCTTGTGAATCTTGGTGGAAAAAATACTGAGAAGCAAGAGTGCTTGCGTTCCTTGAGAGACGCAGCAAACTTGCCCAACTTCAAGTCTTCGCACTGCTTCAATGCTAACTTCTTTACTTTTTCAGGCCCTGTGTCTTAAACATGACGAAAGTTGCTTGTTATTGCTTCCCTTGCCTTTCCTGCGTGTGTTGCCGAAGTCATGACGACAAAACCTCACTTGTTGTCGCATAAGAAAGCTTTAGGTATGGTCCTCAAATGGAAGAAATCACCTGTTTCATGTCCATTGTATATGCACTCTTTCGCATGGTCTCGAAGACGTCATCTCCCTCGCTCACCACCTATCGAAGTCTTCTCCGACGCGCATTCTTGCGGACGCGCTTTATAAATTGGTAATTAGCCCCATCTGGCCGTCTTCCCATGACATGTTAGCATGGCCAAAGGTGTGTAGATCGCCGATATAATACAAAACTAGGTGACATGCCGAAAACTTGCAATACATGTGAACCTGGAGGCAGTGCTAAAGCTTCAGAAAGCTTTCCGAAAGGTATGCGGGAGGATCTACACATAAACTGACACGAAGAAAGAGGACCGCTTTCACGTTCAAGTCGGTTTTGGCAAATGAATAAAGGACCAGGTGAGTGTTCTTATAACATACGCCAGTGTGCACCTTTTCGCTCAGATAATGCCATACAATATACGCGTGACACTTTTGAGGAATGGCGGGGTTCCTCTCGGGTTTTCCGCTAAAGGACAAAGCAGAATTGAATTTATCGAAAACATTTAGTGAATAAGGAAAACTTGAATTGTATTTGTTCAACGGATGTAGGTTTTATGCTTTTATGGCATTCGAAGGATTGCATTGCTTGGTTCCTAAATATTCTCTTCGCCAAAGCAAAAGTGACATTCTGCTGCTGTGAGGTGCCCGACGCCCAGTGGAAAACAAATCATAGGGTCTGAAATGTGCGGTATGTATGATACAACTTGTATATCTCGGTCCAGTTGTGTTCGCCACAGACACCTTGTCTGCACGTCTGTAAATGAGGTAAAGTAAGTAGTAAGTACAATTCTTTTGACAGTGTGAACACCTACTGAAAAATTGTAGTTGGTATGCTACAATGTTTTATGGCTTTTTTCTCTGAACTACAATTTCACTTTTTACGATTCCCATATTTTTGGCTGGCTTACAAGAACTGCCCTTGAATTCCTTGTATATTAGAGGTTAAAGCAAACAACCTGGTCTCACATCATAATGGTGACTTCCTATGAGATTTGTGGAAAAGGAAGATAGTATTGAAGGAAGCATCTAAAAGTTATCTGAATAGCAGTTATGTGACGCCAGATTGCTGCAGAAGAGTATTTCACACCTTCCGCCATGGCTACGAGCGGCGCTCTAAAACACTTCGAGGTTCGCATGCACTTAAACAGTCAGCAAAGTAGATGAAAGGACTAACCCCTCCCCCCCTGCATCTGAGTAAAACAGCACCAGGTGAATTATTTAAATGTTGCAGGTTCAGTCACTGCCAAGTGCAAACTGTATTTTTGTTCATTTTTCACTGTGCATGTGTACATCGCACTACCATACAGGTAAAACAGTGCAAACAGTGCCCCCCATACCTTGCTTGGCTTCATTATCAGTTGCAATATACTAAAGTTGCGTCAAAGAAGCAGTTCAAATTATGTTACGTTTGGTCACTAACAGTTTAACGTCTCGTTGGCACACTGAATTTACACATAAATGTGAGGTTACGTTTTGCATGAACATGTTACGATCTGCGTGTTTTGCAGCGCTATAAATGTGCTTGCTGCACCTCGGCCAAGTTGCCGCAAGTGGAATAGCAGATTTCACATGGTCATTTACGCGCCTGTTTAGGCGACTGGAAGGTGAAAGCCGCATTCTTTTTTTTAAGAGTCTCCTGTATTAATTTATTTCAAATGCTCCCCGTTCTTGACGTGGTTTGCACTGTTTCGCGGATCACAGAAATTATAAGCATTCTTCTCCTCATATGTGGTTTTTTTACGCCTCCGTGAAAGGCCCACGTCTGAACGAGCGACAATGTCTGATGATGATGCCACCATGTTACGTCCAATTGAAGTCGGGAGAGCACCACCAACTTAGGCAACACGGAGCATAAGGGTACGTGTAATGGCGGCGCCACCGCACCGTCATTTTTCGCACCACTCGTGCTGACGCTCCCGACGCCGACAGTCTCTTAAAGCACTTGATAAAGCATTAAAAATATTAGCTTTATGGTCACTATAGTTTTGCAGATAGATATAGGAGCCAGAGTCTGCATTTCTACGATGAGCTACCAGCATTCAAGAAGAAAATAATGCGAAAGAATACGACGCTCCCCGATAATTTCTCTGTGTCCACACAGGCATAACATTTATCCTACTTATATTTTTTCTTGAGAAATGAGAATGTTAATTTATTTTATTAACTATTACTGATAAAAAGCTTCGTATTGGGTACATTTGCGTGAGCATCTCATTTCAATGCAAAGTTTGTGATATCTTTATTCTAAGACCTTCATTTCTCTAAAACTCCGTAAGATTTTAAAAGACCACTCAGTACTCAGCCAAATCCCCGTCAGTGGGTATGAGTCACAAGAAACGATGAACAAGAACAAGATTTGGGGGCCTTGGCTGTTCTGTGCTTGTCACCGACTGCTCCGCTATAAACACACGCTAACGGTGCGATGCGCTGTTTCCATCACGCACTTAACGTAGGTGGCACTAAGTAGATGCTAGAATGTTTCTTTCTTGTATGATGCATGGCCCTAGTGTCTTTTTCAACACGAACGTGTTATATGCCGGGGTCCACCACGGCTATGCTGACGTACTCCTGTCACGGATGTGACCTTGCACAATATACACTAACAAATTTCATTCAAAATGCGATGAGGAAAATTTCTGTTGTGGGGCGTCGAACTAGCGACCTCTCCATCCTCAGCGCGCAGCACTAACCACTAGGCCACGGAGCGTGCGTTGCCAAAACTACTGATGACAAGCCATTTATACGCATTATATACCGTTTGGCGGTCATCAGAGCATGCTCATTTTTTTTTTGCTTTCTGCTTGAGGTGCACGCTGCAAGGTTTGAGCTGGTTGTCCTTCTCCGCGTGACTTTGGAGTTGCTGCAGCACTCATAGTTTTGCCCTTGTGGCGAGACAATGCACAATAAACGCTAACTACCTGTGAGAAGACATGCTAGGATTTCATGTTATACCAATTCCTAGCAAAAGGGATCAGCTACATTTTTTTCACCATTCAAGCTACAACAGCTTGATAACAAATGAGAAGCAGCAGAGAGTGTAGACGTCACACTGTGTATAGGTATTTCCATCCCTATTCTACATACGTTGCAAATGTATTGTGAAACGAGTCTTCACCCCGCAACGATATGGAGTGCAATACCTTAGAACGAGAAAAAAGCAATTATACTGGCTCTGCGCAAACAAATGGGAATACAGCTTTTATAGGTACCTTATTTTCGCCACAAGACATTGCTTCTGGCATGCTGTGCTTTTCACAATCCCTGGGCTCTCCATAATAGTACTCACTGCTGTCGTGGGAAATCTCCGAATCGTCAATGCTGATGACCTCTCGCTCTTGCACATTTTCAAGTTCATATTTCCAGCAACACTCTATTGTGCATTGTTGATCGCCACTGCCATTGGGCTGCATGAAGTAACAGAAAAAGAAGCAAAGGTGACACGACGCGCCAGACAAAGAACAACTCAGCTACACATGGCGTATTTGATGAGAACAGAAATGAAAAAGTAAAAAAAATTCCCGGCTTTACGTGTTACGGGTATGACATAGTTATGAAGGAAGCATTATCGGATCCTGTCGATTGTACTTGACCACGTGTTTGTCTTTAAGGTTGACATGATTACGTATGCCAATGCGTTTTTGTATTTCGAACCATCAAACTCAGCTCGAAAGGGTCGCTAATCTGAGCCGCCTGCCCGTGATTAGCACATGACGCCGCCACAGCTAAAACACTATGGTAATAAAATGGACTAATAAAGATTGGAGAGCAAAGGAATTAGTTCAAGGAAAGGCAGGACTGGTGACAAAACTGGCTTTCTAGTGCTCGTTCTTTGTGCCTCCAGCTTTTGTATTGCACCATGCACCAACTAGCGAGATAACTCGTTTCGGTTCACATATAGAGACGTTTTAAGTATAATATCTGGGGTTTTACATGAAAAACCGACTTATGATTATGAAACATGCCGTAGTGGAGGAGTTCGGAAACTTCTGCTATCTGGTGTTACTCAATGTACTCTGATTCACACAGCGCAAGGTCTTCTCGCGATTTGCCTTCACCTAAATGTGACTGCCGTGGTGGAAATCGGACCCGTCACCTAGATGTCAGGAGACGAGCACCATAAGCGCCGCACAACCACAGAAAACATACCGATGATCAATCACATCTGATCTGTAGCACGTATGGTGAACTAATAACTAGCCGACGCAAGTTACGCTACTGTGATCAACAGGTCTGCAAACTGACTCATCCTCAGACTCGAATCAAGACTCGAGTCTGAGGCTGAGTGAGCGCGGGTGAGCCATATTTTGGTGAGTTTGAGGAATAGTGAGTCGAAATTGGTAAAATATTGGTTAGTCCGAGTTATCTCGAAGAACAAAATGTATAACATTGATTGAGTCTGCATGAGCTGCACTTCTTTTTTCTACCCATGGTGTCACTATTTGATTTTAGTGTGTATATCACTCCAGAAAAGCAGTGTAATCATTCTCGTGACCAATAACCTGTAAGGGACGTTTCTTTTTCTTGCTGTATTATGCTTGGAATCACTCGTAGGCAGCTACAAGTTTAGATGTCGTTTGTAAGCAGTTTTAATCCGCTAGCACAAGTAAAAAGGAAGAAAGTCAGTACATGATGACATCTATAGCAAAACGTGTCAAAAATACTTTGTTAACCTGAAGAATGGTGTTCTTAAACACACGTTTCATTACATTAAGTCTTTCGGGGTTGCAGTATAACTATTCAAGATTTTAGTTGACATGCATCGAATGAGAATTTTAAGTTCATGACTCGATGTTCACGCCACAGAGTTTCCTGAAATTAACTAGAGGGGACTCTGGCGCTGCAATCGTTCCGCGACCATGGGAATAAAAGGTAGTACACCGATTTCCCTGGTCTTCGTACTTGTGGGTGGCGGATCACACTTGTGGCTTCGTTTATTGCGGCGTTTAGGTTTTGTTTTGAAGGAAAGAACTTACCCATCGGAACTTCATGACCCGATTTGAAATGGTAAGCTTAAAAAGTAAGGTGGGGAAGCAGAACCAATGGACATTTGCTGATTTTTTTTTTCGAAAGAAAACAGCCCCAAGCCACACGAACACACATAGAGCCAGAAGTATGAAAATTAGCCAAATCCGTGTTCCATCCACCATTCCCGTGCTCGCTGAAGCGCTGTGCGTTGCCGCTCTTATAGACGTTAGCACCAGAGTTTCCTCTAGCGTATATTTAGAAAATTGTATAGTTCACGCAAAAACAAAACAAAAACATTATTTTAGACAGGTGCTTCGTAGGAGAATTCTACCAAATACAGAATATTGAATCAAATTGAAATTGTATTTTCTCGTAGGAGTGTGTGACAGATAGTTATAGCACTGAATAACGTTAGGTTAACATTTCTTGAGAACATCCTCTATTCACTCATTCATTTATTCATTCATCCTTTCACTCTGGCCTAGCCATGTAGCTATGTGGCGATGTAGCAGTTTTAGAAGTGTGGTGTAGGTATTAAAAATAAGAGCGTAATGCATTGTGATGCATTAGGTTTTAAATAAAAATACTTCAAAGCATCCCCGATTTACACGTTACATTTTAAGCGCTCTTGTGAAACTTGTCGACACCAAGCTATATTATAATAAATACGATAGTCTTTCTTTGGGACCTTCAACCCGAAAATTTCTGTGTGTCTGTCTGTCTGTCTCTCTGTCTGTCTGTCTGTCTGTCTGTCTGCACATTTGTCTGTTTGTCTGCCGTAACGATACTCCAAACGGCACCAAGAAATACCCCAAACAGCCAACCGAATCCTCAGGGCCCACCAATATTGCTCAAGTTTCAGAGTTCATACTTGTGCGATTGTCAATTAAAAATCAATTATTGCACACATCTGAGGCATTATAATTACTAGTCAATATTTCGTGTGCGTGTCTTTATAATAGAAAAGGCCGACAAAAGTAATTCTAAGGTCTGTAGCGTTTATCACGCTTCGCTGAGAATGCAACGCGATTCTCAAAAAGGCACGTGATTCCGACGCTTTGCTAAGACGACACGGTGGTGGCACCTGCCCATCGCTTTGCGTTCTACACCTTATCGCCTCCGAGACAGGCGCGCATCCTTTTCCATGGGCGCGCACGCCTTCCTTCGTTTTCGAAGATAACTGCCAGATCACGCTCGTATCTGACGTGCCTGAATGCGCTGGTTTGCCTTTGCTGCACGGATCGAACGCAGCGCTTCCAGAATTACATTCACCAATGTTCTCGCACAGAATATCAAATAAATGTTTTGTTCACTCTCTCCACACGCAAGACTGTCATCTTTCAACGACATTTGCAATTAAACATGCAGATACAGGGCCATTATTTTTACTGACGATAACAATCATGACAATGTTGGAGGCTTGGACATGTCAGTGAGTATTCACGTAATTTAAAGCAAACAAAGAAAATCTCCAAGCAGTGAAAACTGCAAAAAACCGTCATAAACCGGAACATCTTCCAAACCTGTAAAGTGGATTGCCATAATAGGGAACTGACATGACTACATACCTCGGAGGCGTTCACGTCCTCTTGTTGTGGATGCATTGTTTCACAAAATATTTGTTGTGTCATGTTTTGTCCAGGATAAAAGTTGTTGGAGTAGTTCGCTTTCGTACTAATATTGATGCAATACTGTGGCAAAGTACTGCATGAGGGAGAATTGAAGAAGAACGTCGTTACGAACGAAGCACGACAGATCAAATTAGCGACAGACAAAATTAGCTTCCAATATAGGCATGTAAGGTATTAAACCTCCTGTTCATGTAAAAAAAATTTGAAAGCATGTGTCAAACAACACACGGCTGCCTTACACCTCAGCCTTTCGACACTGTTTTGCTGAGTGATTTTTTTTACTTTCACAAATCGAACGGCAGCATGAAAGTTTGCGGGGTGAGATATATCTATCGCCTGAGTTGAGATAAATAATTTTTTTCAAAGTGAAATCCACAACGACAGCTTTAGGAGATGAGACAGTTTTGATAAACTGACCTACAACTGCAATAGTCCCCAATGTGCAATACGAGCGAGTTGAACGCATGCTTTGATTTTGCAATTATTGAGCCAAGGAGTAGGGGCATGTATTCAAGAATAATGGCAGACAACTGTTTTTTACATCCTTTTCCAGCGTGAAATTTCAGCTCATATTTGCGTCTCATTGCTTTTTGCCTTCTATTGCAGCTACTTCAAATGCCGTGGCGTGTGAGTGGTAATTTGTACACGTAAGCGTGCATTGCCTATATCAGAAATGATCGGTATTGGGAATGTGTCAGCCCAAGGCAACACCCTTGAGAGGCAAAGCGGAGCATGCAGGGGACTTAGCGTCTCGGAAGAGGCGCTTCGGAGCCCAGAGCAACGGTGTGGAGAGGCGACGCGCAAAACGACCATTACCGTGTATTTTAACTCAGTCAAACACATATCGCTCAATTATCTTGAGTAACTACCTTCATAATGTCAGGTCAAGAGGTAGCAAGCAACCCTTTTGTGACCACCTTCCCCCCTCCGCAGAAATTATGGCCGATCACTCCCTCGTAGGAATTGATAATTGATTGATATGTGGGGTTTACCGTCACAAAATCACCATATGATTATGATAGATGCCGTAGTGGAGGGCTCCAGAAATTTCGACCACCTGGGGTTCTTTAAGGTGCACCCAAATCTGAGCACAGCATCGTAGGAATCGGTAAACACGATAGTGGAAAGTCGCTTCCCTTACAAAAATCCTATATATGGACTTATATAAAAATCCCCATATATGGCTACATCAGGAATTGGGCATATCTGGCCCATATATGGAATCCCCATATATGGGCCGTATATAACCTGATATGTCCAAATCCTGATATAGCCATATATGGGCCTTATATCCCCATATATGGGTGTTGCTGTATATGGCCATATATGGCTATATATAGAAGCATCCATATAAGGTCTTATATGGATGCTTTTATATATGGCCTTATATGGATACTTTTATATAAAGCCATTCAAATGATTCATCTATATTAGTTCAGCCTGTGTCACCGGCAAAAAATATAGCTGCTCAAATCATTCTTCAGCTCGAAATATACCTGTTTGTTGAAAGGTCTGCATGCAGTCACTATCATCTCCAAAATAAAGGCCGTACATACCCCCTGAACATTCTTGTTCAATTAAGTTATCCTCATTATATCTCAAGTTATTCTCAACAACTATTTGCTAGAATGTAACTTGGCATCATATTTAAAGTTTGTGGTGAGCACATGTCACTGTTAGTCCACTTTTTCTGAAGAGATACATTCTTTGTGCTTAAATTTATTGCTTACTTATCGACACTTTTTTATTTATCTATTTATTTCATTACCCACAGCACCGATTGGCATTACATTGGGGGAGCATTTACGAAAAGTAGAATACAAAAAATAGATAGTCAGCCAAACAAATAATCAAAGTCACCTGAATCACAATCTGCAAGAGAAATTCATATATAAATCAGAACATGTTCTAATATATAAATCGGAACAATTCTAACATGAAATAAAACAAATATTTGGGAGTGTAGAGGCCATGCTAGAAGGCAGCTGGTTCCATCTTGTAATTTTTTTTTTGTAAAAATCATTTTGAAACACGTCAGTCTTGCATGCGATTATTCTTATCTTGAACCTATGGTCAACACGGTCTGAGAAATAGTACAGTGCAAGTAAATATTCCGCTTTATCGATTCCGACTTGACAAAAATAAATAGCATAAAACAACCCAATTTGAGTTTCGTAAAGATACTTTTCACAGTGTGTTATGGTTAAAACTTTTCTCGCGTGTCAATGGAGCGTCCATAGTCAGTCAAAACGAAATATTCACTTGCTATTGACCGTATGAACTGCGTGTGCATTGAATAACTTAAATGAGTTGATAATCAACTTTTAAAGAGTTCGGTCGAAAGTGATCGGTATGCAAGCTTGTTATGTACAAGTATTGTGACTAATGACCTATAGAACGACTGCTAAAACTGGTGTCTATAGGTCTCTGCGCGCGTGGGAACGGAGGCATTTAACAATATTTCTTGCCAACGGGACACTAAAAATGTACTTTGTAAATGTAATACGCTTTCCATTTTGCCAATAATGCATCATTAACGTAACAGAGGTAAAGAGCTCATTCTGCAGAAATTCCGGCGTAGGCATCGGTGGCTCTCCGTGAAAAATCGTCTTGTCAATGAGCGAAAATTGAGAGAATGCAAATAAAACAAATATTGTAAATTTTCGGGTTTGAGAGATGATCGAAATCACGCAGGCAATTTGCATGGCATGCAAGTGCTCTACCACACAGCTATGCACCTGCTTGGAAATAAAGCATGAATAACTTCCTCTTGTTGTAAATGCAAGAGAAATAACTGTCATGCTTAACAAATACATGTATCCTGCATACAGGTTTCACAACACAACATTTATTATCGCAGCTATATTGCATGATACAAGCGTGCATTGTCATCAAGCATCACAACACGTTATCACCAACGTGACTTTGTGGTCTAAAGACAGCCAACCATTACAAAAGGCACACTGGTTACTGCACGTATTCCCTCACGACTGCGTAGTGGGTGCATAAAGTTCTAAAACATTTTACACACATTATATTGAGAAGCACGTTCTGCTGGGCGAGTTGGTACTTCATCTTAACTTAGTTGCGCGAAAAAATTTGAAGTGCGAAAGGAAGACACCTGGACACAGCGCACACTAACAACTGAAACTTCATTGGAGAAAACAGACATATGTATGCGGTTACGACAACACGTGAGGTAGAAAAAAATGACTAGATGAGCAGACATCTGATCATTTTCTTTCACAGTGTGGACATCGTGTGGTGGACGGCACTGCGCTGTCGTGTGGGAAGTATTATTTAGAATTTATTTATATAATTGTAGATCACAAAGCTTCTCTAAAGGAATTAACAACCATTCTCTAACCAATCATCACATTGTAGAGAGTGTGGCTGCGCGCCCTTGTTTGGAATACGGTAGTTAAAGCTAGATTCAGTGACACGGTATAGCGCAGCGCGGAAAATCGGAGAGGCGTATTTCATAAACAAAGCTGGGGATTCATGTGTCACGTAACTCTCACTTATGTTGCTTGCTACTGAGGTAGCTTTCCTGGAAGCGCATCATTTATACAATCTGTCTGCTCATCTAATCCTTTTCTTTCACCGCACGTGTTCTCGTAACCGCATATATACGTATGTCTGTTTTCTCCAACAATGTTTCAGTTGTCAGTGTGTGCTGCGTCTAGGTGTCTTCCTTTTGTATTTCAATTTTTTCGCGCAACTCGGTAATTACATAATATTTCTTGTTCTTTAAACTATGTTACCCCTTTTTTACACAAAATGCAGCCATGTGCGAAACCTTCATTGAGACACTTTCAACCTTCTCAATTACACAGTACTATTCCACAATTAAATTTGTTCAAGTAGCATCATGCAATAAAGAGTACACACTAAGTGATTGCATTACGCACAAGAAACAGGATCGATACTGCTATCACGTTCAACTGTGAAAAACGGAGCTTAACGGTCCCCCAATTTTTTCACACAGTAGCAAGCCGTAATGCATCATACCAGTTTATTTGTCGGCTTGCGTAAAACTATCTACAGTGCTCACGGATTAAAACGTGACATCGCATTATTTTGTGTAACTATGTATGCGGGTATGCGCAGTTCCTCAAGATAACCACGCGATGTTGCGACATCAGTAACGATAATGTCGCCTGTGATGTACGCATTCCAATCAAATTTACACTTATATCACCCTGATTGTAGATGGCGGAAACGAAATTACGGGCTATTCTTGAGTTTTTCCATTTGGATCCGTGACATAGCACCCTGTTTTGAAGAATCAAACTAGCAACAAAATTTTAACTGCGTGTCCTTATCAAAACACACGTAAATATAAAAACAAGTGGAACGTAGACGAAGAAAGAAATTCAAACGCAAGACAAATTCAAACGTGGGCTCATAAATCTCATGACACCCTTGGAGTTGGAGATATGCAACTCTTTTTTATTTGTAATTGCGCAAGTTGTAATTATCCTTGGTTTTCCCTCAAGCGTTAAAATGAGAAAAATACAACACAAGTATATTTACATCAATATATTTATGAAAAGTACATTGGCACGAAACCAACAATTTTCTGGCGTAGATTTTTCGATTAAATAGAGCACTGTCTGGATCAAGTGAAAAAAAAAGAAAGTGTTGTCGTATCGCTTAAACAAAACAGCCTAATGACGTAACCACGATTAGCATAAAGTTATTTACTCAGCAAGCATGCAATGTGGTATGTTTTCGAGTTATCATAATATTTATGAACAACGTGCGAAGGTAATGAAAATGATGAACTTACCTTAACATTTAACCGAGACTTGTCTTTCAAGGAGCCTGTTAATCCTGATAACCTAGTCACACCTTAAAGCCACCACGTCCATTCGTACTGCTTTAGGAAGAAGTTTTGAAGAAACGCTTGCCCGCAAGCATGCGTATCCATTTTTTTCTCGCACGAAAAGTTGACGATCGCCAATCCAGCAACGTACAGACGCACACGCACACAAAAACACTTCCACGTTCGTCCACAATTTCGCCACGTACAGCGAAGTAGATTCCTGAGAGCTGCGCGATTATCTTGTG